ATTTATTTATTTATTTATTTATTTATTTATTTATTTATTTATTTATTTATTTTAGTGTTAGTACGTGCATGTTATTTGTAAATGAGGAGGTCACAAGAACAGAAAACAGCTGGAAGTCGGTAGTGGCTGCCTCTGGGAAGCAGGAACCAGAATTCAGGGAGAGACAGTTTTTTTCTTATAAACATGTAGAAGGATTAGACTTATAAAATGACATATTTGGTTTTTTTTAATGTTTGTTTTTGAGAAAGAGACAGAGCGTGAGCAGGGGAAGGGCAGGCTCCAGGCTCTGAGCTGTCAGCACAGAGCCTGATGCGGGGCTCGAACTCACGAACTGTGAGATCATGACCTGAGCCGAAGTCGGACACTTAACCGACTAAGTCACCCAGGTGCCCCTAAGGTGACATATTTGAATTACTTTAAATATATATTAATTTTAAAAACATATGAGTTTTAGGGAAAAGTTTTTTACTACACTCAATGTACTAAACTCACGACCCAGAGATAAAGAGTTGCTGGCTTCACTGACTGAGGTAGCCAAGTGCCCCGGAAAATCAATTCGTTGATAATTTTCAGAAGGGATGGAGGCAGTGACTTCAAAACCCTGGTATATGACTTTTTCCAATAGGAGATTCGATGAGACAAAAAAGGACCATGTGGAGGGGTGCCTGGCTGGCTCAGTCGATGGAGTGTGCCACTCTTGATCTCAGGGTTTTAAGTTCAAGCCCCATGTTGGGTTGAACTTAAAATATTTAAACAACCACTCCTGTCAACCCAACTTGACTTAAAAGATAAGGTTTGCTGCTATGCTTCCCTCTCTAACAGGATTTTGGGAGGGACAGGGATGTGCTTCTGGGCAAACGGCATGAGGCCAGGAGTAGGGAGGAATTCTCTAGGTGGCATAATTCCCTTGTATGCCAAGTTAAATCTGTCGTTCCCAAGGAGAAGGTTCATCTCGTCTAGATTCATGGAATATTTCCCTGCGTATAATTTTTCTGTGTATTTCCCTACGGCATGGGAGTCAGTAAAGTCTTGTTTAAATGTTTCAGCCTGCCTTCAAGCCTAGGGTCAGAAGGTTAAGGCCTTTGTGGTTGTCCGAAGACACCCCCTCCCCACCTGGATATTGCTCTTGAGTAGTAAACTTCCTGGTACTCATGTTTGTCTTCTTTAAGGAAGACACTTCTTTTTAAATTTTATTATTTTTTTTTTATGTTTATTTTTGAGAGAGACAAAGACAGAGACAGAGCAGGGGAGGGGCAGAGAGAGAGAGGGAGGCACAGAATCTGAAGCAGGCTCTGAGCTGTCAGCCACAGAGCCCAATGCGGGCTCAAACCCATCAGCCTCAAGATCATGACCTGAGCCGAAGTGGGATGCTTAACCAACTGAGCCACCCAGGCACCCCTAAGGAAGACACTTCTTTATACATTTCCTCTCAACTATGAAGTGTACATTGTCATCATCCCAATTTTTACAGGCGAAAAACTGTATCCTTGTCAAGCTAAGGAACACATTCAAGGGCAGGAGGTAGCAAATGGCAGGGCCAATTAATAAACCCATACTTTTTCCATACAGACCATCTATAATAGTTGCTATGATAAAGGTTCAGACCAGTAATTTGTTTAAATATGTGATGCACAGAGTAATTCACAGGAAACTATAATGTATCTAATTATCTTGACCATCACTTCCTCTTACCACTCTATTTCAGAGAGGTTGGATTTGTCCATGGAATATAAAATGTGATCTTTTACAACTGTCTCTAAAACAAATAACTAGGAAATATCAATGGCTTGTGGTAGCCTCAGAACACAGGCTTTTACTTTGATTTGCTTTTAAAAAAACTGAGATATAGGGGCGTCTGGGTGGCATAGTCAGTTAAATGTCTGACTCTTGGTTTTGGCTCAGGTCATGATCTCAGGGTGGAGATCTCAGGTTCAGTGAGATCGAGCACTATTTCTGGCTCCACACTGAGCATGGAGCCTGCTTGAGATTCTCTCTCCCTCTCTCTCTCTCTAAAAATTAAAATAAATTTTAAAAACACATATAATTCATATGCCATAATATTCATTTTCAAGTGTACAATCCAGTGGTTTTTAGTATATTCACATGTTTGTGCAACCATCACCATTATCTAATTCAAGAACATTTGTTTCACTTTTTTTTTTTACCATTACAAAAGTTTATTTTACAAAAAGGTTCAATATGAAAATGCACATGACCTGATTTTTATATTGTAGGAAAACAGGTGCTATGGAGAGGGGACATGTAGAAGCAGAAATCAACTGATTTCTTCCAGTGAACACACCCATTGTTTATACTTGTTCCAAAGCTCTAACATGATACTATTTCTTCATATCATCATCATTCCAATATTGTTCTGTTGCCCACTGGTTGACATCTCCACACATTTCATCTGTCACAAGATTTATAAAGGGATCAAACCCCCACAATATTTTTTGGACACGTCTGCCAACCTTTCATTTCTTTTTTTTTTTTTAAAGTTCTCCACATCCAGCATAGAACCCAATGTGGGGCTCAAACTCACAACCCTGAGATCAAGATCTGAGCAGAGATCAAGAGTCAGATGCTTAACAGACAGCCACACAGGTGCCCCTGCCACCATTTAATCTCAATGATACATAAATTGTACATAAATTTTTCAACTCAGATGGGTGAGCTTTGCTGTGGTACCTATTTGTTAGCTCAAAGATCCATACTTTGATTCACTTTTGAAGGCTCGATTCTAACACATGCAAGAGAACAACTAGGTATGTGCAACTGAGAACTCTAAGAAAGATCTAGAGATCTCAAACAAAACTGGAGCCAGCAAATGTAATGCTACTGTAGTCTTAAAAAGGGAATTGTATGACAAGTTATAAGAATATGACATATAGATACCACTGTGTCAAAGGTCAGGCCATGGTAGACACGTTTGAATTTTGTCTAGTTCAAGAGCGGCTCTCTAAAAGTGATAAAAGGAAAAGGGTCCTAGGAGTATAATGAAGATCATTAAAAGAAGAAAAGTAAGATTCACAATGAAAGCTTTAAAGAGCTTGGAGTAATTCAGTCTAGGAAAACTATTTAAGAACAAACTTGGGGCGCCTGGGTGGCTCAGTAGGTTAAATGTCCAACTTCAACTTCAGCTCAGGTCATAATCTCAACAGTTGGGTTTGTGGGCTGGAGCCCTGCGTCGGGCTCTGTGCTGACAGGTTAGAGCATGGAGCCTGCTTCAGATTCTGTCTCCCTCTCTGCCCCTCCCCTGCTTTCTCTGTCTCTCAAAAACAAATAAATATTAAAAAAAAATTTTTTTTTTAAGAACAACCTTAAAGTATATAAGAGGATTGTTATACAAAAAATGTGATGACCTTTATTTCCTTCTTTCACTAAGGAAAAGACAAAGAAAATGGATTCATTCTACAGGAGGAAGGATTAGGTTAGCATAGAAAATCATCAGAGCCTTATTAAACACCAAATGGTAGTTGCAGCAAAAAGTCCTCCGAAATTTTTTAAAAAAGTTTTAAAAGTTAAAGGATAGTATAAAAAATTCCTTCACCCAGATTCACCAATGTTATCATTTTGCCACATTTGCTTTATCATTTTCTCTCTTCTGTATGTATATTTACAATCATTTGAGAGTAAAATTATTTATATGAATCCCCCTTTATCCCTAAATACTGGGTATTTCCTAACACAAAGCACATTCTCCTGCCAAGCCACAGTAGTATAAAAATCAGGAATTTAACAGATCCAATACCATTTTTTAATCTATAGCCCTTATTCAAATTTTTCCTATTGTCTTAATAATGTCTATTAAATTAAGAAAAAAAAAAGTTTTCAGGTCCAGGGTCCATGTTGCATATAGTTGTCATGTCTCATAAATTTCTTTAACCTGAAATTTAAAGACTGAGTTCTTCAGTCTTTGTTCTTCCCTTAATACTGGCAAGTTATGTAGCCTGTCTTGCAATTGGGTCTCTGCTGCTTTAAAAAACAAAAACAAAAGAAACAGATTCTCATTTGTTTTGGGAGTTTTAGGTGTGGTCTTGAGTGAAGATCACTGGTAAATGAGCCATTCAAGGCTCCTTCCAGCCATTTCCTACTGCTTATTGTTACTAAACCAGAATTATTCTAGATGGTGAGGATAGACAATAAAACATATTTGTATTCAGAGCTGCAATGTATTACGTAGATTTTGTTTCCTTGGCACTCCTGTATTTTATGAGAGTTTAATGTCTTTAACAAAATTAGGTTTGGTGAAGAATTAGCACCTACTCTTTTTAAATTTTTTTTTTCAACGTTTATTTATTTTTTTGGGGACAGAGAGAGACAGAGCATGAACGGGGGAGGGGCAGAGAGAGAGGGAGACACAGAATGGGAAACAGGCTCCAGGCTCTGAGCCATCAGCCCAGAGCCTGACGCGGGGCTCGAACTCCCGGACCGCGAGATCGTGACCTGGCTGAAGTCGGACGCTTAACCGACTGCGCCACCCAGGCGCCCTGCACCTACTCTTTTTAAACACTTGAGACTTAAATTCCCGGTAGACTACCATTTTCAGAATTTCACCTTCGCAGTGATGAACTATGCCCTCGCTAGGAAACAAGAGCTGCAAAGATGGGTGGGTGTCACTCATTAAAATCTTTCAACAAATATTTGTTGAGTGCCTCGTAGGTGTCCAGCTCTGTTCCAACCCTGGGAATACATTAGAGAACAAAACAAAATCCCTGCCCTTGTAACCTAATTGTCCAAATTTAAATTAAAAAAATCAGAGCCCAGGCACCCGACTTCCTTAAACAGGAAGAAGCCAAGCTCTGAAAAGGGGCAGCTCGGTGATTCAAATCGAATATGGATAACGCCGCGGAATCCCCGACAAACGCGCGGATAGTAAAGTTCCCAGTTTATCCAAACGCGCTATACAAATGATTAATCCGAAGACCAGAGGCCACAGAGGACAGGCGGAGCAGGACTTCAGAGCCGTTCTAACCACTTTCTCAGCTACAGTCCGCCGTCCTGCCTTGGGCCTCCGGGCGGTCGCGGCTCGCGCTCGGGTCCGCCCCGCAGGGGCCACGCACCCAGCCCCGCGTCCCCTCCAGGCGGCACCTCCCGGCCCAGGCAGAGCCGAGCACCTGGGAACCGCGCATCGAGAACGCCCCGCGGGGAGGCGGCTCGGGGGAACCGGCTCCTCCGGCGGCCTCGCCCACTGCAATGCAATCTGGGTGGTTTTTCCAGGTCCCTCCCTGTCTTGTTCCGCGCCCAGTCCCTGCCCCCGCAGCGCCTGCGGGCCGGGGAGCGCGGCTCGGGGACCGGGGGTGAGGGGCGAGCCCGCCGAGAACCGCGGGGGGCGCCTTCCCCACCACGCACTCTGTGGTCCAGGAACTGAAAGCACTCGCCCCTGGAGCTCGAGCTGCGGACGAGGATGGCCCCGAGCACTCTCGTGGGCCGGTGAAGCGCTACCTAGCCCCAGCCTCCGCCCGCTCTCTGGGGACGCGAGCTGCTACCTGCGCCGCGGGCGGCAGCGCCTCCGCCCGCACAGTCCTGCCGGGAAACGCAGCGGCGCGGCCCTGGGCTCCTCAGACTCCCTCCTCCCTGCCCCCGAAACGCTCAGCCGCTCCCCACTGTGTCCGCGCTGCCTCGCGACGGGGAAAGCGCGTTCTCCCGCCTTCCCGGACACGCATCCCGACAGGTTCTCAGATCTGTACCCGGAGCGGGTTCCGGCAGTGACTATATATATGCTTGCCCGATTTCACACCATGAACACAAAGGGCTGGACACCTTGGGCCCAACTAAGTAATACTTCGGACCGATTTCGGTTCTCCAATAATAGATAAGTTGGAAACATAAAACTCCAGGAAACGTCACCTCTGGCTCTTTCCTCTCCCACGTCAACAGGTCCCAACCACATTGCCTTCTGACTTGGTGGCTGGGTGGCGATAGTGGGCGCATAAGCCTCTGTGCAGACCTAGCTTAGCTAGAGAAGGGAAACTGCTCGCAAAGTTGGCCAAATCGACACATAAGTACAAAGGCAAAGGTATGAGGAGGGACGTAGGGGTCAGAACTGGGAACTGAGGGAAAATTTGCTTTGGCCTGATTTAGGAAAACATTAGTGTGTATGTTTTATTTAGGGCCCAGAGCAAAACAAAGTTTGTGGGCCCAGCCATGGAGAAGGAGTCTCAAGCTAGCAGCCAGAACCAAACAAGACGTGGCAATTAAGAAGTAGAAGAGAGACAAGGAAGTGGGGTCCATTGTGCCTAAATTTCCTCGCGGGGACTCCCTGCTCCGTAGCGCGCAGCCTCTGCGCCTTTGGGCGAAACTTGGTGGCTGGGCGTGCTGCCCCGGGCGTCTGGCTGTGTCTCCAGAAGGTGGGTAGCGTCCCGGGGTTTGGAGGAGCTCAGGCCTGGGCTCTGGCCGGGAGAGAGGGAGGGCCCACAAGGTTTCACCTACTGTTTGCACTTAAAGGTGTGTTGGGCTCAGGAGCGGCTTTCCCGGTGCTTGGCAATTGCCCCTGCCGCTTCCCGGCTATGGTTGGCCGGTGCCTCCCTCCGCGGTTCGCCCTCTTGGGGCGCCGCGCCCCGAGCAGTTCCGCACCCCAGGCTTCACCTCTGGCCTCTTTTCTCCTTCCTGCGCCAGGCCTTTTCCCTTGACCCTTTAGAACCCCCGGCTTAGTTCCCCCACAGTCGACATTTTTCCATGCCCCCCATCCCTCTCGATTACCTCCAAAGGGGTGACCCCCCCCACAAGCGACTCCGGCCCTCCCCTCCGCGCCCTTCACCCCTCACCCTTTTCCCGTCTGGCCTCGGCTACCCTTCGGGTGGCAACCGCCTCTTCCCCGCCCCTCACGTCTCCCCCTCCTTCCTTCTCGCCCTCCCGTCTCCATTCATCCAGCCATTGTCTCCCGCCCCCTCCTCCCCTTTCCCCAGGCGGCCTCCACCCCCACCGCTGCCACGTCGTGGTTTGAAGGAGCCAATGGGCCGGCGCCGCCAGGTGTCTCTTACCTGCACCACGTGGGGGAGGGGGAAGGGGCGGGCAGGTAGAGCCACATCCCAAAACAGAAAAGCTTTCAGCCATTGCGCGCTCCACCCGGGGTGCAGCCCAGCTCCTGGCTTTTTGCATAGACGCACGGGCAATTGAATACAAAAAGGGCAGGCCTCCTGCGCCCTCCTTCCCACCCCCTTCCTGCCCAGGGTGTGGAGCACCGACCAGGTGTGGGCTAGGGTGGTTGGTTACCGCCTTTTGCACCGGCGGCGGCGAGGAGGGGGGGGGGCGGGCGCTCTTTCTTCTTTTTCTCTTGGAAGAGGTTTTAGCACGGGTTTTCTCGTTCTCACTTCCACCCCGCCTCACCGCCTCCCGACCCCCCTCTCCCCCTCCCCACCTATCGTCATGACGGCGTCTCCGGATTACTTGGTGGTGCTTTTTGGGATCACTGCTGGGGCCACCGGGGCCAAGCTGGGCTCGGATGAGAAGGAGCTGATCCTGCTGTTATGGAAAGTCGTGGATCTGGCCAACAAGAAGGTATTCCTCCAGATTTCTGTCCAATTGATAGGAGTGGGGCAAGAAGTTTATTGTAGAAGTTTGGAGAGTCGGTAAACAAGTCCTCTCGTTTAGCCACTTATGAGGCTGGACCCGAGGCCTACAGAATCCAGAGTAAAACCAAACTTGTTGGCCAACGGCCTGGGAACCGTTTCAGTAATCTGAAATCTGGCTCAGGTGGAGCGGCCGGGCGCAGCCGAGCCAGGTTCTCTGCCCGTCGGGGGACGCCCCGCGGAGCCGGGGTGAGATCCTTGGGGCTCGGGTTCCCACTTCTGGGCCTTTCCGACCTGATCGGGGTGGGGGTGGGGCCGGAGGCAGGGCCGTGCCGACCTCTCTGCCACCGGAGCCGCTCGCGACGAGTGAGCTTTGATTCTGTGGCCAGAACCCTGCAGCCGCGCTGGCCGCCCCAGCAGGGGAGCGAGGAAGGAGGGTGAATATGGAGGCTTCCAAATTGAGGAAGGGGGAAACTGACCCCAGTTTCTTTCCGCCCTGGAGGTGGGACAGTTGCATGAAGTGCTAGTTAGACCGGATCAGTTGGAGCTGACGGAGGATTGTAAAGAAGAAACGAAGATCGACGCGGAAAGCCTGTCCTCCGCGCCGCAGCTGGACCAAGCCCTTCGACAGGTGACAGACAGCCCTGGGCCGCGCGGTCCACCTTTATCCAGGCCACTCCGGCGGCCCCCGCAAGGCAGCCCAGCCACACCAGGTCCCACGCCCTCGCCGGCCGGTCCACGCACATCCCCGGGGCAGAGTGGCAAGACGCCCAACCGCGTGGGTGGAAACCCGGCCTTGGAGGCCGAGGTGGACCTCTTGGGAGGAGGTCGCTGCTCCTCCAAGCCTCCCAGCCCCTAGCGTCGTGGGCCCAAACTCGCTAGTTTTCGAGTCTTTCCTGGGGCTTCAGGAACAGTCGGGTTTTACCAATTGAGGAGCAGAGGTTGAATCCTAGCGCCCCCATCCCGAGGCCCAGACGCCCGACGCGCCCGTCCTCTGCGGGGCTTTGGGTGTGTGGCTCAACGCTAGGACAGAGGGCGCTGTAGTGTAGATGAGCGGGTGGGCCCGGCGAGGCGTGCCAGAGGCGGCCCCAGTTCGGTGGGAAGCTGAGGGTGCCTGCTTGGCTTCAAGCTTCTGAACTCCTCCTAAAGGCTCGGTTTGGGTTCCCTTATTACTTCTTCAGTGGCTTTGATCCTAGCTGGGGAGGGCTTGCAGACCCGAAGACGTAGGGCTGATCGTTGGGTCATTGTGAAACTGGTGGAATCCCCTTAACAGAATTGAGGTGACCTAAAAACCTGCTGCTTCCTGGTTCTGACGGGTACTGGATCAGGGATAGGGCGGGGCGCTAAACACCTGTGCACAGGTGCGTGTCCGGTGCTCTCTTGGCCTGTGCGCCAGGACACGAGGTGCGAATTAATAGGGGAAAGTTATCATTTGGGATTGTGTTCCAGGGAAAGTGTGGCCAGACTTCCCAGAGGTCTGTATACCCATTAACCGCCTTTGCTTATCAGAAACTGGCATCTTTCTTAATCTTGAAACATCCGAACATAAAATAACACCAGGGAATGATGTAATCTGAAGGCAACCTGCTGATGAAACGAGACCCGACTTAAAAGTCTTGAATGTGGATTTAGCACAAAAGTAGACGGGGGCACTGAAGGGAGAATGTCTATACTAAATTCTCCTGCGGGTGAACTGTGGGTTGATTGGAAAGCTTGTCAATCCAAAGGGTTCTAGATAGCTTGTGGGAACGGAGCCTTTCTTTCTAATGTTGCCCCAGCACTGGTGTCCTCTTTTATGGCAGCGTGGTTTTCGTTGGTTACCAACACGTGGGGCCACTTTGCCGGAGTTTGTAAATCCTGCTTAAGTTGCATCCCTGTGTCTTGTTTACAGTTTAACCAGTCAGTAAGCAATGAACTGAATATTGGGGTTGGAACTTCCTTCTGTCTGTGTACTGACGGGCAGCTTCATGTCAGGCAAATCTTGCATCCTGAGGCTTCCAAGAAGGTAAGAGTGCTGGCTTCTCGGAGAATGATTGGACCTTCCTTTGGGGGTGACTGGAGGCTTTTTTTTCCCCCCCATGGTTTATCCAAGTTTCTCCATTTTAAAAAGATGTGTGTCGGGAGTTATTGTTTCCTGGCAGAATTTCAGTTTGAGAAGATAACAAAGGAATAGTGGTAATGGTGTCACAACAGTGTTAGATGTAGTTAATGCCACTGAACTGTAAATATTGTGTTGTGTATATTATTGAATGTTAAAATGGTGAATATTGTGTTATGTATATTTTACCACAAAAAAATCATGACCCTTTAATAGAGATCTTTGAGATTGCAGTAATTTTATAGATACCCTCTGGTGACTTAACAAAAGTTTCTCTTTTTGTTTTATGTTAAGTTTTGAGATGGTTGCCATTCCCCCTTTTCTAAGCATATTAGCTGAATTTTGACATTTAAAGTAACAGCAAGTAGGCAGGAGAGAACATTTACTTTTAAATTTTAAGACATTGTAATATTCCCTTCTGTAGAAAATGCTTTATCCTAGAAAGGAAGGAGCAAAGAAAAATAGTTTAATTAAACCTTGTTAATCGTAACTAATTTCATTAAAGAGCTTTGTACTGTGTAAAGACCT